ACCCGCACATTATGCATCCAAAAACATATTTCTAAATGTCTAAATCTTCCTGGTATTACATCCTAAGAAATAACGCTAGAGATTTCTGACATTCAGCCAGACACTCATCAGCAGTAATTCTTGGTTTTGAATTCATTTTTCCATTGCGTTTCTTTTCCATTTGAATATCGAACCATTTATCTATTCATCCTGCTCAGTTTGTATGATGTTATCGCATTCTTAGTTTCTTCCGTTTTCCCTCGCCAGCGTATTTTCTGACTGCCGCCGGCGTTGGCGATGCCCTAAGGGGTGTCTGCGATCAGCCTCGTGCTTGACCTAGCTTTGCTTCCATGGCAGGGGCGATAGAGTTGAAGAGCAGCATCAGTGCAATATTTCGCTATATGTCGTTCGGAAAAGGTGTCATATACTGGATATTCACTGGGCATAACCACATCCCTGGGTTTGTGTATTTGGGATGTGGTGCCCATATGATATGCACATCATATTCTATATCCAGAACATGCTACTCCCCCTCCCTTTCCAATGCATACAACATTCCATATCCAATGTTCCATACCCAATTCCACAACGAGGGTACGGGAAGTCTTACTGACGACCGCAGTGCAATATCAAGTTTTGCCGAGCTGCCGACAAGCAACAGCATAATCGGCAGTGGCAGCCAGTCTCTAGACACGAGCTAGGTCTCTATCCCCAGCGACGCCACCGATGCTGAGAGGGCTGCCGCTTCCTGCGCCATTGAGCCTTGGTAACCAAGCTCCTGTGGCTCTCCCAAATAGCGTCGCCTCAAGGCCGAGGCTCTCGAATCAACACTCATTCAACGGCATATACCCTCTCAGACACCGCAAACGTCGCCTGGCCTGCAGCCAGCCCGTCCCAGCAGCTCTGTTCTGCAGCCTTCGTCACGGAAAATGCCGGCGGGCCCTCTCTGTGGCGCCGCCGTGGCGTAGGGCTCCTCAATGTTCCCCGCCGTTTGCCATCAGCATCTCTCCTCAATCGACTGCCGCCGGATACGAAGGGTATCGGACATTTGTGGGGAAAAGAAGAGCCCAGAGTGCCCGCCACCTCTCCCGGAGCTCTCAGGCCCTCTACACGTCTGCATACATGTATTTGTATATACAAGTGACTAGTAATTCGGTTGAGCTTATTGACTTCAGGGTTGAGCGGAGGGCTCGCTACCAAGTGAATGGAAGGTAAATGCTTAACCTTGTAGGTGTCACTCGGAAGTACTTCTTGGGTGAGTTGTGAGCGTGAAAGCGAGGGCGCAATGGAAATGACGCTGGTTGCCAGTGCGCGTTGGCAAGTTCGTGGGGAAGATGAGGAAGCGAGGAAGACCTTTGGCCATTATCTGTCGGTTGATTATTCGATCACCTGGCGCTTCATGAAGAACTTGATCCAATCTTTCAACATGAGACTTTCTTCAATATCTATGTGCTGCAACTTTACTGCCTGTACCAATATGTATAGTATAACTGAAGCTATATAAGCTATGAGTGTGTGGCGCGATGCGAGCAAGTTAATAGCGCTCTTTCCTTGCATCCGCTGTGGAAAAAGATGCATTCCTACCCCTCTGGAACCGCTCCAGCGGTGGGTCCCCTTGCTGCCGGCAAGCCTCCCTATTAGAAAGCAATATTTGGCCGATGCCAACTGCGATGCCATTTGACATTAGCCGCTCCCACAATGTCTACTTTGATGCCATCGCAGTCACTGCTGTGGCGTCACTTAGTGTCAAATGGAATCGAAGTTGGAATCGCAGAAACGGTTCTTTTCCTGCGCTTCGATCCACGTGCCTCGCAACTGGTGCCCAAATCGCAAACATCGATTCGAGCACAATATTGAGAGAACAACGCCAAGCCATTGATCAGCAGTTTAGAGTGCATGAGAAATTGGACTCAACAGTCTGACCGCTGGTGAGTACTATTATTGCGTCCGTTTGGCTTGAGCTGTGTGCAGGCTGTTGTCGAGCACCGCAGTTGCCACTTTCGACAGGCCGAAGGGCTGTCACACTTTTACTGAATTGTTTCCCTGGTGACAAGGGGACGCGGCACAAGAAAGTACTGTAAGTATTAAGCAACTTGCGCCGCTATTCCCACAAAGCATTAGGCGACTGCAACCAACACGCTGGCTTGGCAGTGACCGAGTCACACCGGCAGAAAACAACAAATTTCAGGCCACTGCGAACTGCGCTGAAACTGTTCTGGTTGCTGGAAATCGTTTCTTAACAGCGAAAGCTATGTTAGTTTGGGACCAAATCGCGTAATATCAACTGTGTGCTTGGTGTCATTTCTTCCAGTGTCAGCAGTCCACGCTGCTTGACGCCAGCCACACGCTCAGCCAAGGTGGATGCCAGGCACAGCTCAGTGGACACCCCGCCTGAATGGGTGCCATGCCAGCCAATCCGCGGAGCACGGTTCCGCGTGGCTTCACAGCTCGCCTGGCTGGATCATCTCGCACTTCAGCCAGCGCACCCACCCACGTGCCGCGCCAGTACTTTACCAAATTCAACCACCTCCCATTGTGATTACGCAACCGCCCCAACCGCTGCCGCAGCACCAGCGGCGGCCAAGCTCAAAGGGTTGAGTAACAAGGGCGCACTCCATTTGGGCACAAATGAGTCAGTGCGCCTTGCCGCCACGTACGTGCCTATGCTTTGCGCACGTCGGTGGACAGCAGGTTCTACGGGCGCGCCGTTGGGCCCCGCGGCCCGAACTCATTCACAGACTGCCGGGTAGCTGCGGGCGGCGTCCTGGCGGCCGTACGTTGTCTGTGTCAACGGCTGGTTCTGGATTTCGCGAACGAGGCCAACAGCAGCCCGGGGGTGCCGGGAGGGCCCAATTCGAGGCCCGGCAAGGGGGCCGCAACCTCGGCGGGTGGGCGGGAGCTTCCGCGGCGGCGGAGAGAGGATCGCGGATCGAGTGCCCGGCCGTGGGCGGCGATCGAGGGCGGGGAGGGCTGGAGGCCGAGGGTGGGCAGGCAGCAGGTGTGGGCGCAGATGGAAGGGCCACCCACCAGCCCACAGCACAGCAGCACAGAAGCCTCCAGGCCGGATATCTCCAAAGCCGGATCCACCGTGCAGCCAGGTAACCAGTCAATAAAATGCTAGGGAAGGGGCAGAGAACTATCAGGCCAATGGTAGAAAAAGGGGCTCAATCTGGATAGAGTGGGAGCAGAGATAAAGGGAGAGGGAAGAATAGTTGACCAGAGGCACAACTGGGCCAACACTGGCGGGGAAGGTGAGGGGATGAACGATGGGGGCGGTCGGTTGAGGACAGAGCAAAGCGATGAATCTACTAGGGGATCGCACTCCGGTCAGGGTGTAGGAGTGTCCCAGCGGACGATCAGCGTGGACTAGCCACTCGGGCAAGGCAGGCAGAAGAGCGCAGAGGCTGAGGCTGAAACGCGATTCGTCTGCTTAGATGAGCAACGCGATGCGAGTTCAGACCAAAGTTCCTGGCTTTCGCAGGCAGGGCGAATATCCTCACGCCCTGGCGCGCTGCGCCGGGGCGAAGGACGGGGGCGGGCTGCACCGGGGCAGGAGAGGGCCTGCTGGCGTGGCGCCTTCTTTCAGGTGCTGTTCCCAGTAGGCCTCTCTGCATTTTGACGCCCCTTTCAGCGGGATGCGGGGGATAGGGGGCCGCGGCGCCGTCATGGAGAGGAGTCGGCCGGAGGGCCCTTCGATGCAAGTAGGTGCTTTGGTGGCGCGTGGCGTCGCCGGCCGGCCTTCAAAGATGATTGCCCGCCAGAGCCTGCAGGGCCAGCCGTTGGTGGATCGCGAATGGAGAACGGATGCTCTATATTGCCAGGCTTGTCAAATGGGCAGGGGCTGGCCCATTTTACACACATGCGCTCTTGTTTGGGCTGTGCCGAATTTTGCTGAATGACCGTGCGCCACCGGCACATTGCATGCCAAGATTGCGCCACATTCTGGCCGCAGGGCCGCATCGTTTCCGAATTGTGTTGCTGAGGCATCTTGTATCGCATTGAAGGGTGAAATTCGTATTGTAAAAGAAAATGGTACGATCCAAATCTGAATCGACAGAGAAACGGCGGTGCATCCACGGAAACAGCACGGCCTTCAATCCAGCGTCGCGACGCACACCAAGCTTGCGTTGAAGCTGCCAGCTAATCTGTAGTTTTGGTGTGGGGTGGGGTAGGCTGACTATGTATAGTACAACGAGCTTGCGAATTTCCGCAAAAACGCTGTGGACTAATGGAGCCTCTTTCGCTCTCGCCCAGCAATTTGCATTGCAGATTCAGGTTAACGGCTTGCAGACTGCGGGGAGTGCTAAAAGGGGAATGGGCGCTATTGGAAATGGCCAAAACATCCATAATTTGGCAGTTGCCATGTCGATGATGATGCTGTACATTTATGTTCGGTGTAGATTTTGTCGATTGATTCGAACAATGGAAGGAAACGGATATTGTGGTAACAAACATGGGTAGAGAAACAACACTGAATGAGCAGCTTATGGCTGAGCAAGCAGCATGATGTTTAACAAAAGGAACGCGCAACTTCAACACTTACTGATTCTTATCGCACTTGTGGTCATTGATTTTGATTTGATGCTCACATACTCACATTGTTTACGCTTCAACACGGCGCTGCGGCAAAGAATGGGCTTCGTGGTCATGTTTGGACGGCTAGGAAGAGCATCAGAAAGCACCAAGCGTGTAAACGGGAACCCCCCATCGCGTTTTCTTTCTGTCAGGACTACCCTGGGGGAAGGGGGGGGGAGATAGAAAGACTGCTTATCATTGTAGTGCTTTTGCGGGAGCAATCATCAATTGAACAAGCGAACACCATGGCCGAAATGAAACGCTGAGAGCAACATACAAGGCTGCAATCTTGACACGATCAAGGGGATTGATTGTGCCCAGCACAAGTACCAGCCTATTGACCTCACTGTTCACCAGAAAGACACCCTCATAAAATCATGTCATCAACGCAGCACTTGGACAGCACCTGCAATTTCACATCTTCGCAATGCGTCTAATCTGTGTGCATGTCAGTCTCGCAGGCCATGTCGACATGGGCGTACATTCCGGCGGAGCTGCTATATCGAATATTGGCCCACTTCGTCGGGGCGCCGGGCCAGCATGCAATTCTGGCCGCCTGCCGCTTGGTGAACTGCCATTGGAGCTTGTGGGCGACGGGATCCACAACTTCCCTGGCGCCCCGCGGTGTCCCCCTCTCCTTCGTCGTCTCCGAGCTGCCCCGCATCTTCTCAAACATCGCCAGCCTCAAGCTGGGAGCCGTTTCGAGTCTGAAGGGGCCTAGCCTGCACGCCCTGAGCGGCGTGACAGCCCTTACCGCGCTGGACCTTTCGAAGTGTTCCTTGGGGCCCTCCACAGAGTGGGGTCCATCCCTTGGGGCCCTCACCAGGCTGCTGCGCCTGGACTTGAGAGGCTGCCAGCTGTCGGACGAAGGGCTGGCGGCCATGGGCCCCCTGGTCGGGTTGACCTTCTTGAGCCTGCGGGAGTGCCGGGGGGTGGGGGACAAGGGGCTCAGGGCAGTGGCGGGCCTCTCCGCACTGCAGCATCTCGACCTGCGGGGGTGGCCACGGCTGTCAGCCAACAGGTAAAGCCCATGGAGGGATTGTGTTCGCATCGGGCAGGTCGATAATTGCGACAGCAACATGCTACTGCGGTATTTGAAGCAGTACGCCCTGCAATGTGGTAGTGGCCGTAACGGTAGCAGCGGCGGCGGTGTGAATAACTGGAAAGTTCGAAATTTTTCATCTAAAGGACTTCTTTCAAACTTAAAATGTCAATCAAATAAACAGTTTCGATCCGTGTAAAAACCGTGTAAAATCGTGCCAAAACGTGTCAAAATCACATACACCCATTTAATCGTTACTACACGGTTTAGTTCAAAATTTAGACGATAAATGCATGATCGTTACACGATTTTTTGAGACGGCTTATGCGGTACGTGATTTTCAAGACCGTGAATTCTGGCCTGTTTTCCTAGTGTTTTTGGGAACTAGGAGCAGCGGGGTCGCCAAACATGTCCAGCGGCAGGTGGGTTTCCGGCGGCAATGGAGATGCACAGACGATGCTGCTTGTGGCGGCGATAGTTGCCACCATTATAATGCCAACGAAATGATATTAGTACGGCTGAAATAGTTGCCTTTTGAATGGGCATCATAATCAAACAATGAATATTATCAAAAACGGAGAATAGTCTAACCACCAAGCCTTGAGCATGATTTAACAAAAGCCCAAAATGAAGCATTGACAGGTCGTCATTGCGAATGCAACGTTTTTTGGCTCGAAAAACGCATTATACGCCGCTTGTGGTGTAAATTTTAAATCTGCATTAGGGCCCCTGGGACACATATCAAGTGTGAAGCCAGGGCGATCTAGTTGCTCCCAAATTCAATTAATACTGTGGAAGAAAAACGATCATCAGTAGTAAGCACGAGTGCTCCAGACTTGCCACACTAAAAAGTTATGCATAAGATCCACAATCGCCATAAAATGGAAATATAATTCCTTTGACTTACTCGAAGAATAGCCTCGGGCTTCCAATTTCCAGCTGGCATGCACGCATCTCACACGCACACACATCTGCATGTTTGCAGTACAAATATAAAAGTAGAGTTGCCTGCTGACATATATTATGCGAAGGCAGACCGAGGTTGTGCGAAATGTGCATTTTCTCACGTGCCATACATGTTAGGTGGTGGAGGAAGGGCGTGGGCGACACGGGTGTTGCTGCCCTCGGCGGCCTGCGGGACATCCGCCACCTTGACCTGTTCGGGTGCAGCAGCGTGACGGACACCGGCATCCGGGACCTGGGGACCGCAGCGACGCTGGAGGAGCTCATCGTTCAGAGGTGGGGCGTTGTCGCTTGGCTTTAAATTGAAATGGGAATTTAGTAAAACATGATTTGCCACCAAATGGGCGCCGGGTGCGCTGGGGACGCTGAGCAAGTCGACAGTGCAACGGCGCAGCTTATCAAATTTTGAATTGTTTAGATTCAATAAACTTGTTCTAAATTGACAAGATAGATACCTTGTCAACTTGGTGCTAACAGAGGTATAGCTTTCCCTTTCAAAGAGTATTTTCCGACCGCCAACAAGTATACACGGACGTCGAAAACGGATACTCAGGAATTTTGGTCGAAACGACTTTGATTGGCTAGGCTGAGAACTATACGTACAGCTCTCAAGCGCAGCCAACAGAGCCGCTATTCTAACGATGTGTCAAGAGAAACTAAAACTAGGTGTTGCCGACCTTTCTCGGTGCATTGGAGGGGCGCGGCGTGATTGTCGTCCCCTTTGATAGAGGCAGGTCGAGCTGAGCGGTCGCTAAGAGAGAGGTATGCGTTGATAGTTTTGTATGCACCGAAGGTGTGACTTGAAACCAGAAGGCATCTCCAGGGAAAATGTCGCATTTCGTAGCAGAATGTGGAGGGGTCGACAAGAACCGCGTGGAGGCTGTAGCCAAAGGCCGAAAAACAGTCGATCAGTCCAGGGCCACCGATCCAGCAGACGGATCAGGGTATGGAAGGCTTTGCATGCTGATGCCAATCAATATATCCTAGTTTGAGACCAACAGGGTCAATCTATAGTAAAAAGAATTTCGGAAACATGTTTTAGCGTAGCGGGAGATGGTGGACAGCTTCCGCAAAGAGCATGAATGTTGGGATGGCGAGCTCTTGATATGTTGTGGTAGCTGCTATCTGCTATCTGCAAAAGACTTCTTTAGGAATATGTGGTACATGGAACGTATTGGGACAAGGCGAATGCAAGAGGGAGGAGAGTTGAGGGCCTTGGCGGAAGTGAACAGGTCGTTGTTGATAACGCTTAACGTTTGTGCTGTGTGGTGATGGCTAATGTACTCAGGACCCGTATCAGCTTAAAATCAACCGAGAAACACAATTCTGGTGATGCATTGTCTTATTGAGTCGTTGTCTGAAAGTCGCATAAAGAATTAGAAATCAAACAATAGTTTGTGGTGAAGTTAGTGTACAGAAACCAATGTCATCTCTGTTTGGGCAGTCGCATTTGCATCAATGTCATTTTCTCTAAGATTTGAGCCAAAGCGTTGTCTGTGAGTCTACTAAATTCATTCAATGTTACTTATTAAAAAATGCAGAGTACATAGTGGTGTTTTGAATGCACTCGACACGGGTCGAAAATTTCATAAAATCCATGGTCTTGCCGAAATCGCCAAAATCGTGTGCCATAGTGGAGCACCCTCCAGCAGCCCCCGGAGTTCGATGAGGGTGGAGATGCGAACGCCACCAAAAATAATGTGGCGATGGTCACCTTGAAGCAGCAGGCAGCTGAGGGGCGGGCAGTACCGTGCAATAGGACGACGGCGCCAGTGGGTTGCGCTAATGGCCGATTCCTGTCAAAAGGACGGTGCATTTGGACGCGTGCATCAAGGAATGAATGAAGGAATTGGATGGTGGAAGAGATGTCTTTGTGGGTCTTTTGGATTCCAAAATATTACGTCACATCACATTTCAGCGTCCAGGTGCCTCCCCCGTCCTATCACAAGATATGTGAGCCTGGTGCCACCCAGGAAGATGGCGCAAATCGATGTAAAGCCCCCGAATTGTTCGAATCCAAAGGGAAATATGCTTGTTAGGTTTCTGGGACACATTCTGTCTGAATGTGGGGCTGTGTTGATACTTGACTTCGTTCTCGTGTTGTAAACTGATTCAAAATGCGACATTCATTTCCTGACAGAAGATGTAAATGGTGCTGGATAAATGCTTCAGATTAAAATATCTATAACAGGGCCTTGGCAGCGAATCTTGGGGCAGTGGTTGCTTACAATGACAGCAACAAAGACATATACGCAATGAGACTGGTTCCGGAGAGATTGTGTTGACCTATTCCCGTTATTGCGTCCTCAAAGTAGTAGAAATTCAAAGACTGAAAATTTCAAAGGCGAGTTACGTTGATGCCCACAAGCACCATATTTTGAAAGCAACGTGCTTGCACTAGTCCACAATCTACAGTGATGTGACTGTACACAAACATATCAACCATTGGCGCAGCGCTCATTCTGTTTGATTCTTTGGCCAGGCGCTTGAGGCTTATTACGATTGTTTGTTATTTTTGATTGCGGGCAGATTACAATGGAGTCTGGACTTCGGCAATGGACATGATACGTTGGCTCAATGTGGCCTTTTTGTGTGCGCCTTGTAGTGCCATGAATCTCCCAATGAGTCTCAATGAACATTAGCATGAAAATATGGCAGTCCAACCTCGTTACATTCGTTATGGCAACAACTTCAGAGACATGCTACTAGTATGAAGTATTATACTTGCACCAGCATCACTACAGGAAAGCGGGGCGTCTGCGCTGTTTCGAGCGGCTCAAACGCGTCCGAGCGCGTCTGATCGCTCTATTGGCGCTGCCCGAGGCGCTAAAAAACATCGTCTGCATCGTCCGCGCACTAAGCAGAAGCAAGCAACTGCGTCCGGAGCGTTCAAGGGCGCGGAATCTGGAAAAGAAGGAGGACGCTTTTTCCATCCGCGTGGTGTGCAGACGCAACGAACACTTTTTCTTTGCACTCGGACGCTCTGTGTGCGGACGCTTTTATCACACGCGGACTCTCTTTATCGTCCCAACGGGCACAGAAACCGTCCGGGCAGCACGCAGACGCTGTCCGGAGTGCGCGCGCACACCATTCGGGAAGCGTGCAGGTACTGTCTGCGGATTGGGTGGATTCAATGGCGGCCATTTTGATTCTTTTCTTTGGGGGCTTGCCAGTCGCGCCCCCACAGACACACATCACCACCACCACCTCGACCCGCGCTTTTCCATGCTGTGGCGCTGTCGTTGCGTGTGGGTGTGGGTTGATTTTGAAGGTGCGAGCGATCCCCTACGCAACTGTTTTTGGTGTGGGGGTGCAAGCGGCTCCCCACGCAGTTGGCTTTGTTTGGTAGTGTCGGCCGGCAATGCAAGAGTTAGGGTTTGCGATCCTCCATCTCTGGAGATTGCGGCACTTAGAAAGCCTGCGCACAAAGCAGACGATGGCAGCGCCAGAGCAGCCTGCCCGCACAGCCCACAGAAACGTCAGCTCTTCGCCATGCGGCTACTCCATTGCCGTCGGCCGCAGTTCCTGGGTGGTCTATGCACACATGTGTACACCGCACAGAAGCCGTGAGTTCTCCACCACACGTCTCCTCCACCCTCGGCAATTCCGGCGCCTCAGGAACCTGCAACGAAGCAAACAGCACCTGTCGATTCCGCATGCACCTCCTCGTCACTTGTTGGTGATCGAGGTGCCTGGGTGGCCAGCACACAAAGCACGCAAAAACCGCCAGCCCCTGGCAGGCTGTCCCGTCCATTGCCATGGAGAGTCCTCCAAGGAGCTGGCCTCCTCCACAAGGGTCATGTGATCAGCCGCATGGATCTTGTCACGCCGTCATCACCTCGGTGATTTTCCAACTCACGACGGGTGCGCGGTGTCTTGCTCTTGGCGACCCTCCCCTCCTGTTTCTGTTGGGCGTGGTCGGGTCCCGCCCAGCGTTTTGCAATGTCGCCCATCCCGGACGGGCCCCTGGCTCGCCACAAGGTGCGTTGGGGTAATTTGGTGGGAACAGTTATATGCACAGCGTGGCCACCTCTCAAGTGACACGCTGACGTCTGTGACGTATGCTGTTCAACTGTCCGAGTGCGCCCGCCCAGTGTGCGGACGTGTTCAAGCGGCCACTGAAAATGCTTCTGAGGCCTCGGAAGCTCTGGACGCGTCTGAGCACCTTCGGATGCTGTGGGAGTGTCCAGGGACGCGCGGAACCGTCCAAGGCCTCGGAAAACTTTTCTGCTCAGACACGTCTCCGCATTGCGCAGACCCGCTCGGGTGCGCTCGGAAACCGTGCGGACGCCCCCCTTTTATTGTATTGCATACACATAATATTCATGCGACTACTACATACTGACACTACATTACTGCGAGAGTAGCGTTTCTTCCGGCGCTTTGCTACAAGACGGAAATCACGAAGGCAATGGCTATTTCCGTCGCAAATGCCGAAGATTGCATGATCTGGGTGTGGGGCATTTTACGCGTTGTCGCCCAGGGATCGATTGGAAGATATGGAGGGATAACGGAGCTGATAATTGAGCCTCGGGTCGAGGTGTTTCACTGTTTGCAAGCGAAGCATTATCCGTGGACTTCACACAGCTAGCAAAGCGGAATTCCACTCGCGAGAACAATTCCATGTGCTGGCTGCTCAATCAACATTTTTGTTTTGAAACCAGTAAAACTCACAAGACTGCACTTTACTGCCCAAGCATTCGAAATCGGTAATTGGAGCATTATTCCAGAAGAAACCAGGTTGCTTAATTCCGAAACTTCTTCCGGCGTCTCCAGGTGCGACAAGATGAGCGACTTCGGCCTGGCTGGGCTGAGCAGCCTAAGCCGTCTGGCCACCCTGGACATGTCGCAGTGCCCCAAGGTGACACAATGGGGCCTCAAGGAGCTGTGCGTCTCGCTGCGGCGCTTGGACCTTTCGGACTGCGTGGCGGTCTCCAGCGCCTCCTTCCTGTCGGCCCTCACTCGCCTCGTCCATTTGGACATGTCCGGCTTGGCAAGCCTAGAAGACGACAGCCTGACAGCCTTGTCCTGCCTGCAGGACCTGAGAATCTTGTGCTTGGCCAGGTGCGAACAAAAAGCACGATTCCTGCGTTTCCAGACTGGTGGCCATGGAGTTGAAGAATGTCATTTCCCGTTGCAGGATTTTATGCTTTGTATCCTCAGGGTCCCCTTACCCTTCATAACCTTCTTGACGCCTTATTGGCGCGTATATCCGGAAACGATGGGCATCGTAAAAATCATGTTGTGACGTGCCATTGCTTGCACGCAACTGCGCGTCTTTCAAGAATGAAGAAATGCCACTCAAGCTCATTCAACGTGTAGTCACGTGTGCTCAGTGCGGCTCTGACAATGTGTTGTTACTGATGTCAATGCCATGTGAAGTGACTGAAATGTTTGAGCGTGGAATCTGAATTTCCATTTCGCAGAAGTGAGCCCTGTGACCTTGACCGCCTGTTGGGTTCATTTTTCAAGCATGCATATCACCTTTGCTACTTCCTCCGTCCGAAATTAATTGTCCTCTATTTGAGAGACAAAATTCGTTATAACGGACAGCTTCAATTCACCAGAAAACATCAGAATCGGAAAGATTGGATTGCAAAATCCTTAACTACCAATTTTTAAGAAAAAATAATTAGTCCCACCCCCTCTGGATGGCCCCCAAAATTGGCGGAAAATCGTCCAAAAAGTGTGCGTGCAGATTCCGCATCCGCCAGACAAGTACACGTTTCTGGGTCACCCCGTCCTTGGTGCGCTAAAGATAAGTCGTTGTCATCTTTGCAGTGAAAGGCGGTGTCCCTTACATGGAATAGCACTTGCTAAACACGCGCGAGCGTGTTTGGATCCCCATCGTGGAAGGCCATTATCACAATTTTGACGGTTTTTAAAATCTCGGCCATCGTCGATCTTTGACATGCGTACGTAAAGCAAGCGGACAAGGCTAGGTCCCAGGGCATTCAAGCTTGGGCTATGTGCCAGCTATTGTTCCAAGTTTATGCAGTAGACTTGTTTGGACAATGTGCCTCGATCGAGGCTTGAATCGTTGTTTTTGTGAGCAGCCTGGCCTGCACCACACAAACTGCCACGATCTGCCAATCCTTGCATGCAATCCACAATCTGTCGCATCCCAACAAGTGCGTTTCCCTTTGAGAGATATATTTTTATCTATCTAGCTAGTCTTCTCAAGCTCAAGCCCTTCAAGTGCCAAAAAATGGTCAATTCACTATTCCTATCCAGGAGGGTCACTGCCTAAGTGCCCCAAAATTGCCCCCTAATTATCCGCCGCTGAATGGGGTGAAGGCCACCACCTTCCTAAAGGTCTGCGAGGAATTTGGGAGGCCTCCTGCAGTATCCCTCTTAGTGGAGTTGGAGGTCCAAAAGTCGTGGTTCAGAAATTTGGACCTGATGGGCATCTCTGATTTGGCCAACCGAATTTGAATTGCAGCCGCAAGACACGGCGACTTCCACGATCAGAACTTTCAAGACGCATTTTCTGTTGCCCTTTTCCTTTTCCAGCACCTCCATGATCTTCTGTCAAAATGGCGAGGATAGTTTTGCCCAGGCGGCTCTGTAGCGCTGCCGCAAAGGCGTGCTCCTCAAAACAGCGAAAATGACCATTCCAGCATGGATGTTGAAAAACTGGTGGGTTTCTGGCTAGATGACCCTTGCTGCAAAGTGCTGCCAAATCCGCAATACTCAACGGACTGACTTGAAATTTTGACTGCATACTATCAAAACATAGGCGTAGTTTTTTTCAAGAAATTTGAATGAGAAATGAAGTTCCTATGATGGAGAAGTAAGGCACTAAAGTCATAGAGGACAATTAATTCCGGACGGAGGAAGTAAATTACAAGTAGGTGTTTTACCCGACATTTAATCTCAACGTCGTAATTATCCACAGTTACTGCACACTTGAAACAAGAATTATTATCACGATGCTTTTTACACATATGCAGTCCAGTGTGCTAATATGCATACATCAGCATGAAATTCAAATTACCTACAAATAACCTACTAGTGCTGTGGTTTGATGCAAACTACACTTTAGCTTGGCAGCTTCCCCAGATGAACAAATAAACAAAGTTTTCATGGATAGAAGCGGATGGTACTGCCGCACACAGATATGCGCGGTGTTGTGGCAAAGTACAAGAAGCAGGCTGAATACCACTGCCAGCCAAGCACTGGACACCCTTCTTGGATGACCCACGTGCTTCACACTAGGAAAAAATGGGCCAAATAACACGTGTTCAAACGTGTACAAAGTTTACGGGTTTGTGTTATTTTTGTGTTCTTAGCGTGTAAAACTATGATGAAATGTGTTTTATGTGTGTTTGCAAAAGTGTTATTTGGCCCTTTTTTTCCTAGTGTCATTTGTCATGGCGTTGCTCGCATGTGTGCCCACATCCACTTCTGTGCGCTAATATGACTAAGTCAGCATGGACATGCTCAACGCACACATGCAACTCTGGTTCCCAGGTGTGGGGTTTCCGACGCCGGACTCGTCGGCCTGACAGCCATGAGCCGGCTGACGCACCTGGACCTGGGCGGCTGCGCCCGGGTGGTGGACCTGGGCCCACCGGGCCCACCGCCCCTCGCCAACCCCCGCAGCCTCAGCCACCTCAACCTCGCGGGCTGCGGAAGCCTGCGGGACCGCGGGCTGGCCCGGCTGGCGCCCTGCGGCGGGCTCACACACCTGGACCTGGCGAACTGCTCCAGCGTGAGCGGGGAGGGCCTTGGCGCGCTGGCCATGCTGACCGCGCTCAGGCAGCTCAACCTGGTCGGCTGCACGGGGATCTTCGGCGACGACGACTTCGAGCAGCTGACGGCGCTGAGCGAGCTGAGGCGCCTGGGGCTGAGATGCGGCATCAAGCTGGGCAGGGCGGTGTCCAGGTTTCTGGCTTCGCGGCCGGGGCTGCAGATTCATTTCGCCTGAGGGGGTGTGTGGGTGGGTGGCCGCGGCCTTGGGACCTGTTCTCTGCGCCGCGGTGGGGATTACGCAGTGGTGCGGCTGCTTTCCTTTCAGACGTGGCTTTTGGTGTGGCGCGGCAGGCGGTGTGTGTATGCCTGCACCGATCATATGGGAGTCCTGGGCGATGTAATGGGTTCATCGAGCACCTCCATCCTCGTAGTTGCATTACGTTTCTGGACACTTACACGCCAGATGCGAACGCACCACCGAACGTGCCTGTGCATGCGTGCGATCGAGTCATCTGCAAGGAATGCGGAATCGGTGGAATTCTGTTTTCGGCAGCCTGTAGGGCAAGTGTGCGGTACAGCACCGGCTGTTCTGCTGCCAATCACAGGCGCTGAGTATTTTCAACGATTATCTGGAGGGAAGTGCAATGACCTGTCAGGAGGCCAGTTCCCTGTTAGTGCTGTGCATTGCCTTCAGATTCTTCTCGCGACATGCATACATTCATCGATATCTTATGTGCCCCTTGTCTCAGTCGAAACTGTTCCTCCTGCCGAGGTGTCTGTAAAGGTTGTTTAGTGTGCCAGTGGGCACGGACACTCCTTTGCTGCGAAAAGAACGGCTGGCACGTAAGTCGGCGCCTAGTGCCATTCCCAGGGTTTGCCACCAAGTCATCCCGGCCTGGTGTCAACGAGGAGGCGACCCACCAACCCATTGGTCAGAGCACCGCCTTTAGTAGCACTCCTCCCGTGCCGCTCGCCGGCGAATCCTACCAGCAACAAGGAGCGCAAAATTGTTCGGCACTGAAGACAACGACAGAGCGGACGGATCGAAACGAGGAACGGGGAATGCAGAACGCCAGGAGTGTAGATGCTTTGCTGGTCCTCCTCCCTCCCCCTTGCCTGCTTTTCCTTCGGTTTTGTCGCTTTTATATGCAAGAAACAGCAATGTTTCCAGAACACCGTCAGATCTCGGTGTCTGGTATAATTCCAGAAAACAGACAATGCCGAATATTTCGAATATTCCGATAGAGGCAATGCCGCGGGCGGCACCCCACGGCCCTGTGGCAACTCACTGCGTCCTTCAAGCCCGTCTCCGTGGCTCCTATTTGCCAGGCCTACGTCGTCACCATGTCCACGCATGTCGCTGTCACCGAATTCGGCTCAGATATAATGGCGGAAATACACGGCTTTGAATCGTGCAATAATCGTGTGCAATCGTGGTATGTGGTACACAATTTTCGAACCCTGGCACTTTACCCAAAATTTTCAACTACTGCGCCATGGGCGGCGCCACCGGCCCATCGGCATAAATCCCATGTCATGGATGTCGAACAGGATGTGGGCACCATGTACTGGATATGCGTATCCAGATATGGCCGCATCCAGGAAATGTGTACTGCAGGCTATGCAACAATTTCCCGACGCCTGGCAGCTCTGGCTTGGGCGCCAAAGATCCCGTGGACTCCCATGCCAATGGCGGCGGTGAGCCGCAAAACAGGCAACCATTGGCATGGCAACTGCAGGCCCCATATTTGTGCGCATGCTGAGCGATGCGCAAGGGAAAAGCGTGGTCAATACACGCCATGTATTTGCCAAGCCATTACTTACTGGCACCAGCAATGATATTATCTATCATGGCATGTCCAACGAATTTCAAACAATACTTCCACTGTACCATACCAATGTCTTCTCCGACTTTGGCATAATATTTTTCCATTAAAGAAATTTTTCTTTCGAGAACAATTCGTGCAATTTTGTGCTTGTGTGTTTGAAGCACGAGATTAAAAAATAAACTGATGAAGGGATCGCGAAAGTCATGTAAGGGTGATGCTATTAAAGCCATGAAGTTGTGAACGTCATTTTCGGGTTCAGGCTGTGTCCTGGTACACTGGTCGTGAGGCCAATGCCGCTCGGTAGCACAGAAAAGAAGTAGATCGATGTGAAGTCTCTGCCTGCCAATGCATGGGGCATGTAGTACACAATAGCCGAAGATGGTCACATATCTATGGTCGCAACATGCCCCCCCTGTTGAAGGTGCAACGGCCATCCCACGTGTCAACGATCGCCATGGAACCACGCATAACCCTCTCCCATACTCATGGGCAGCTGGTCCGCGTCGACATCCTCAGCTCCACTTGGTTTGAGAGTGCACTGAGCGATCAAGATGTCCCCCCTTGCGTGGAATGGATCCTCACAAAACGCCGCTTATCGCAATGACTGTCACCGCCAGAGATGGCAGTCGCAGTGACAGGACGTCCCAAACGGGCAGCAGATGAATAACCGCCGACCAAAGCACGCAAACGTCCTTGTAGATGGGCTTCTGACTGCCGTTCAGTTCTCCACAATCAATCGCAGCAGCTCCTCAAATGTCGGTGAAGTCAAAAACGTCTGTCAGCCCCGTCCACAGTGCAGCAGCGCATGACGCAGCAGGGCTTCTTTCTGCCTTTTCGCCGCTGCGAAACGATGACGATTGCCAATTTTGCAGGCAGCAATACCGCACTTGAAGCGTTGGTCGTGAACGGCAAGAAAACGGCTCAAAACCGGTCCAGAGTGGCCGCGACCTTCGAAAATCCCAGCGCTATTGCGCTCAGGCTATGCCGCGCACAGCCAGGGAACTCAGGAAGCCAGGCTGCATACCTAGACTGCCGTGGGAGGCACAGAGAAACCACACTCAGTCGTTGTTACAGCTGTCATGCTGAAGCCAATGATGCATCGTCCCCTACGGCGTCGTACTATCGATAGGACGATACCGTCCTCTTCGCGCCCTCCGTACTTACAGCCCCCCAGGCCTCCGACATTCTGCGCAGTACCCCCTTCGTGGGAAAGTATCTTTTGATTCCCCGGAATATTCCTGTTGCACAACCGCATCACCGCTATTCCACCCGGCACACTCCTCGTCACTTGGTCAACAGCCACAGAATGCCCGCGTGTCATATTGCCATCACACAGCCACATGGCACCTCCACGCGCTCCCCCTTGCTTCGTCTCATAGTGCCTCGCCGCCGGGGCAAACCTATCCATCATAAAAGGGCATCCCGCTCATAAATCACACAGGTCGGCCCAATCGTGGCCCAAACAACGTCCATTGACGCATTTCCTTAGCAAAATCTCCTTGAAAACATTTCTCAATGAAATAGGGGTGATTTAGTCATGTTGGAGAATCGATTTGCAGCCGATTGCTGCTTTCAAATGCAAATTTAGATCAACTTTAATAACATCAATTTGCCGAGTTTATGCATCCCTGATTGATAATTTTGGGGTATTTGTGCCTCGCTGTGCACCAGCCCACCGAATGATGGTCAGATTAGTGAGGGCGCTGAGGCTGTCGACACTCTTTCCCCCATTTCTGGACCTCACATGTCTCCCACTTAGTAGCATCATTAGGATACTGTGTTTTCTGATGATACCCGTTGTTGGCGACACCGAACATGTGTGTTTAGGTTTTGCGGCTTGGGTCCCTCTACCCCTGATTATTCCTGCAACGCCACTGGCAACATGTTCGTGGTTGGGCGCAGCTTCTGGCGCTTCATTGTGTTCCGCAATCTCCTTAATGTTTTCATCGGACATTTCTCTATGACGTACCACCCCACAGTGGTGATCCCCGGCCTTGGCATGGCTGTGACATTTACCACTCTAATTGCACTTTCTGTCCCTCGAACTATGGCATCTGCGCCAAGACTCCAGCTTCACGTCAACGGGGTGACGCCTTAGATGTACTGGGTGTCTGTTGTACAAGGTGACATGTCCCGGCATTGCTCGGCCGTCTGCTTCACTACTGCGCTGCGGATATGCCCATGCGCAACAAAAGAAAACGTGCGCATTTTATGCACAAGAAGTGTGTGCTTGCACACACAGCACCAGGTGCTACCCGTTCAAAGTTCAGTGGAGACGGGCCAGTGGCTTACCCAATTCAGGGATGCGGCGGCATTCATTTTGGCAGATATGAAATTAATGTAAGTTTAAAGGCAACGTGAAGATGCGGCACATTGGTCATGTTACGCGTCCCTACTGAACTCGAATCGTTAGATGCCCTCAGGTTCCCGGCGGTCTACACATGGCCTCATGATGACCGGCGAAGCACACACACACGGACGTCATCAGAGCGTACTTTGGCAGAGGTGGGGGGCACAAGTATGAGGACGGCCGGTGCCGCGCACATCTGCATCTGGAAGAATGGTGTACATTGATGCAATACTGTGTGTAGTGTATCATTGATGCTACGCCAAGCAATATTGTAGCAAGGGAAGTGCATCAGCATTGGCAAAACGTCTGCGCACACATCAGCGCTTGTCAGCATTGGCATATGGGCATTGCCAAAGCGTTGATCGGACATTGCATCAATGTCTACCGCTTTCCAGATGTGCGGCATGGAACCGCGTATGTCCGTGGACATTCACGACGGACAGAAATTACTAATCACACTCATGAGTGGCAGACCATCCGCAGGCCTGAAATGCTACGCCAGCCGTAGCAAGCAAGCACCCAAGCACGCCCTTGGATGGTTTTCGGCCATTGAATCCATCATTGGACAGGCAATGAAGGCGAACAAAGAAATTCTATGCCCACCACAGGGCTCTTTGCATTGTTAAGCTCCAAGGCGTCGGGGCAAATACCGGGCAACGAGTCGTGCTGTCTGAACGGGTGCTAATTACCGCTACAATGTGTTCACACAGCGAGTTGCGGGTTTTCTGCGCTGTTAGATGCTGTTTAGAGCAAATCCACGTGGAGCACCGCTCTATCAGTTATCAGGTACTGTTTGGGACATCCTTGGGCCAGATGACCGCGTTCCGTCCACGCCCGTCGTTTCATCCACGTATTTTGACAAATGGCCTCTGCCAAATTTCGAGCGATATCAAAGCCGATAGTCATCCTATCTATCCAGCATGTAACAGCGTGCAATATTTACCGATTATAGCGTCTGTGGTGCCTTCTGTACTCGGCATGGGACACCAGTATTGAAAACCACGTGTCGCTTCAAGTCGTGAACAACAGCGCTTGGGACAGGTCTGAGTGCAGGTTCTGAGGGCTTGGGCTTGATGGGCAGCCAGTGAATGCGCATGTGGTGGAATTCAAAGATCTGATGAACTTGAGCATGTCACGATGTCCAGTGCCCTTTATTACCTAGCGATTTGACGATCTTCACGACTTCATCATCATCATCATCATCATCATCATCATCATCATCATCATCATCATCATCATCATCATCATCATCATCATCATCATCATCATCATCATCATCATCAAAACCCATGGATTACATTTGCCACAAAATTACAAAACACAGCCCGTGCACCTGGCAGGCGATGACACGACTTCATGCCCGGAAACGATAGATATTGGACGACCCTAGCACATGCCGATGGGCGCTCTGGTGCATCAATCCTGCGCTGGTAGCGCAACCGCTTCAAAATGGTTACACACGTCATGTTGTCACCATGCTACGTCTTGTCAAGATCAAACATGAGCACCACATCCAACAAACCACGCCTCTGCTCGTGCTGCTGGTGAACAGTGCAAAGGCAGCCGCCACTGCGATTGTGATATCAAGCTTGCTAGAATGGACATGGTGCTTCCCCAACCCTCAGCCCAAAGGAAAAAGACTCCCCACACCAACCACGTCCACCCGAACAAAAAAGCAAACAAAGAGCTGGCCAAGGGGTCCTTGTCAGTGGTGTCGGTCGACAGCCATTTTTGAATTTGCTCCGGGTGGGTGTTCAGGGGAGGCCGAGGAAGCCAGATTGTGCACGAGCCAGGTGTAGACAGCGTTGATGTAATTAACTATTCTGTTAATGAGTCTCTGCCAAGGACGACGTTGGGTGGGCGCGCGCCGGCCAGTCTGGGCCAGGCTGTGTCTCTGGGCCGTTTCAGGGCCATCAAAGGCCGGTGTCTATCAACCCCTGTACCTGGAGTCAGTGCTGACCGGATCCAAGGGGCAACCGGGTGATCCTTGTAACTTGGGCGTAGACAAGGCGATCAGTCAAGCTATCCCTTGGGTTTGGCGGGAAGTTTGGCGACAAGTGGGAACGGCTATTTGGGCGTGACCCTTGGCCCCCTCTTGATCTCGTTTTGCACCCACTCGGCCCACCCTAACAGAGTGAGTTTTGGTTTGTGGTGGGATGGAGAGGGAGTTGAGCACGAGAATAAGGGGAGCTGATTCAGGGTTGAATCACCATCAGTATGGCATTATGTACTATGCAAGGCGAGGGGCACATTTCAAGCGGGTCGCCAACCGGGTCTTGTATTTAGTGAGGTGATGGACGCCAGTACTTTGTGAGTGTAGTGTCATGTCACGTGGGGAACAGGGGTGGATGGGTGTTGAAGGAGACCGGCAAGGCAGAAATTTCAGCATTCGGAAGACAGAGCATCAGGTGCACCATTCTCTCCGGCTGGCCGACAGACTTTGCATTATAGCACAATTCGCCATGAACATCCAGGATATCAGGGGTCTGCTGAGACACTGGCCGCCGCGTCAACATGCACAGCGGCAAGGTTGCAGCGATGCAGGAGGCGACACTGCGCAGGGTGGCTTGCAGTGACGCTTGCAGCAGCACTGTGTGGCCACAGACGCGTTGTCGTTTCTTAGAGAAGCCCCCATAAAGTAAAACACCCAAGTGAAACTAAAATACGAGCAGGCTAACTACAACAGAAAGTTCACAGATGGACGAACGCCAGACTTTCGGCAAATTACACCGTCCTCCCCCTGAGAGTGCCCAAGGGCCCAAAATACAGGTTCTTTTTCTCACCCGGCCCTGGGCCAAGAAGAAAGTTCTAGATGATCCGCTGGTTGCAGCTGTCGGGCCAGGTACCATCCGAACAGCACCCTTTGGCTGTGTGTCTACTTGCCGCCTGGCAAATGAAGGTCGGCTGCCAAATGAGGGCAGCGCCCAATCCCCTCCGCATTGCCCAGTCCCACTGGTAAACCTGCCAGTGTTGTGTAGAATCTACAGATGCAGTTGCATGCCAGATGCAAAGGGATGCGACAAATACAAGCCTGTCCACAGTCCGCCCAGCAACACACAGTAACCAGAGGGCCACCCTCCCGTCCCTCCCAAGACTCACCAACTGCCACTCTCTTCCCAGCATCTTCCTTGCCTCTCGGTTCTGCAGCATTCTGGCATTCATGTCGCGCCTTTGCCATCTCCCTGCAGTTTTCCCCCACTCCCTTCACACCTCCATCGGCTCTGCCTCGCCGGATCCGCTGGGGCCGGGCTCGTCGGCAGACGGGCCCTCGTCCACAACGGGCTCTGCCTCAATGGGCTGCGCCGGCTCCACTGGGTCCTTCAGCTTGGCCAGTTTGCTGAACATGGTGGAGTACATCGCGGCCTCCTTCTTGGTGGCGGCCTTCATTTGCTTGCGCATGCGAGCGTAGAGCACGGCCAAGTCCTTGTTGTCTGGTTCTGCCTGGCGGGCCTTTTTGAGGTCCATCTCGGCCTCCAGGTACTCTGCCCGCCCCATGTGGGCCTGGGCTCGTCGGTACAGGGCCTTCACGTTGTTCAAGTCCAGTTCAAGCACCTGCAACACATGGATCCAGCACACAGACATCGGCCACATGAAGTGCTGGATAATTGAATGCTTAGAACATTATTGTGCAGTTGGAATCGCAGTTGCATTGCCTGCTGCACAGCTGCCACTTTATCTAAAGTTAACCAAATGTAGGCCAATTGGCAAAGGCTTGAGAGGAGGATGTGTGAATATTCGTCAGTGGTCAAGCAGCAGTTGCAGATACCGTGCATTTTCACATTGCCAGTGCCCCATCACATCCGCATGCACAAAATCGTGAGATTAACAGTGGGAATGTCAATATTGGGCTCCATCCCTTCACACATCAAGCTGAATCCATCAATACATCCCACCAATGCTAGCCTTTGACACGTGGTGGACTGCACAGTCAGGCCATTACAAATATCAATGCAATGTCTTATTTCAAAGCAACAATGAATTACATTGATTCAATCCGAAAATTGACAAAGAGAAAGTGCCCATTGCCTGTTCTGTACCCTTGGTTGCAAAAAGGATCACAACACACACTCCACCCCACCTTTGTGCAGTTTTGAATGACATCCTTGTAGCTCTTCTGCTTCAGGTGGGCGGCTGCCAGGTTGAGCCACAACGACTTCTTCAGCTCCTTGGAGTCCTTTTTGAGGTCTCCAAACTCATTGTCATGCTCAACGGCCCTTATCGCATCATTGTACCGCTTTATGGCACGGGACAGCTTGCCTTCCTTGTACGCCGTGTTGCCCTTCTCCTTCTTTACCTTTGCGTCTTCGATCTTCTCCTCAGTGGACATGTCATAGGAGCTCTTGGGCTGCAGTGCAACAGAAAGGAGCCGATGGGTCAGAAGGGGCTTTTAAGCAGGCAGCACACAAGTGCAAACAAATACACACAACCCTTTCTGGGATCAACTTGTTTCAATTTGGAGGCTCATGGCAAAACCACTGCATGCACCAGGCTGTTTGCACGGCATATATTTTTGTGAAAAGCACGTTGACTGATGCCAATACAGTTCTAGGACAGAAGCAACAGCAAACAAGCAGGTTTTGTGGTTCACCATGGGTTTTGTGGGTTACCACACAAACAGGGAAAAAGAATCGAAATGAAGAAAGTGCCAAATTCAGCATGCTGCACCAGCCACGCAGCATATTCCTGGTACAGGCATCCCAGGGCGTGCATGCGTGTGGGGTGGGGTGGTGGGGTGGTGGGGTGGTGGGGTGGTGGGGTGGTGGGGTGGTGGGGTGGTGGGGTGGTGGGGTGGTGGGGTGGTGGGGTGGTGGGGTGGTGGGGTGGTGGGGTGGTGGGGTGGTGGGGTGGTGGGGGGCAATGCAGTGTCAAAGCACCAGTGCCTGATCCCCTCCCTGAAAGGTGGACCCCGGCCAAACAACTCCAATGTTGATCCAGCAGAAGGCTAATGATCAGTTTGGGTGAGTCAATGGCTGGAATTAGGCCAAGCTGTGGCTTTTTTTGAACTAGTCCAGATCAAGGGAACCCTTGGTCCACACATGGGAGGGAGCAACTAGTCCAAGTCGAGAAAAGCTTGTCCATTCTTATGGAGGCACTGCCTAGCCCACACTGAGCAGGATAACACAGCCCAACACATAAGGTTGGCTTTCCAGTTTGAAGGTTCTAAACTGAGGTCACAGTGAATGAGTCTCCATGCTTTGACGAAGTCAGAATTAAAGTCAATAGCACTCAAAATTTCTGTCCTGGACCGTAGACAAAGGTGAAAGCTCCATTGCATGGACTTGGAGTTCCCTCAGCCAAATGCCCATTGGTCTCAAATAGTACTGGGTTGGACCTCTACATCAACAAAGCCAATATCCCCAATCCTAGGACAAGATTACCAATTCCAGCAAATGCAACAAAGTCATCAGGGCCCTTGCATTCTCCGAGCAGATGAGCTCTGAGCCATCAATAATAAGAATCTCTACATAATTATAATAGTTTAGTTAGTAACAGATAAGCATGGAGCCAGTGGGCACTGCAGCCTTGTTGCTGACCTGGGATAGGCCATGGTTTCATATTTTTAGAACAACTCTCTAAGCTGCAGTCATTAAATCAAAACAGTCAAGTTTCTAGCCACACCCACGTTGTCCATAGAGAGCAGCTCCACTTCGTACACAACCGTGGAGCCGGCAGGCACCATGGCCTTGTCCCGTTTTGTGTCGCAGTCGCCGAATGCATAGCTGGGGCCGATGGTCACCAATGCGACTTCCTCCTTCTCCATCTTCATCACTGCCAGGTCAAGGCCCCGGATGACTTGATCTGCAAAAGCAGCACACAGGCGTTGCAACTCAACAAGCCAAAGTGAGCGCAAGTTGGGATAAGGCCTGAAACCTGGAAGTTTCCAAATTCGACCTGGATTTTGGCAGGCATTGAGACTGGTTTCAGATCAGACATTCTGCTTGTGGACATGGTGCTGGCGCATGAGTTGTGCTCTGTCAGTTGACGACCATATTCAATGGAACTCATAGAGTGAATTATTTTGGCAAACAACTACCAAAAACAGAATCCAGCAATGCGCACCAAATATGTTCTAAAGTACTCATCTTTCTCCTAAACCTTTGATGACAGAACATGGGCAAAGTCACACCCAAAGCACCATTCATTGACTTGCAGCCCTAGTTGGAACGATTGCTACAACACTGGGTGCAACATGGCTTGAACGCTTCACACAGGCACCAAAACAGCGCCCAGGAGTATGCTGTGGGATTGCCATCCACAGCATTGCACAACAGCAAGGTGCATTCTGCTGTGGAAAAATGAGAAAACCAACCATGCTCAATAAAGGAGCCAATATCTGTGTGCACCTGTCAGTGCAAAGTCCAAGGAGGTGACGCAATATGGCATGGTGTAATTTATGAACTACACTGTATGCAACTCTGTGCACACATGTGCACATGTACAGAACTGTGTACGCATTCACAACTGTTACGAATTATGTACATCACAGCACCGAAAGTTCTGAATGTGTGGCGCTTACCTTCATCCGTGACAAACTTGAGCTCGTTGTTCTCCTCAAAGACTGTTCCATCCTCCAGCCTAGCAGTGTACTTGATGGTCACTGTGGCCATCTCCTTAGGCTTGCTGTAGCTGGTCCAAGGCAAAAAAAGCATGTTAAACAACACGTCCTAATATGGTAACTTGCACCTTTGAATAATGTGTGGATGATATGCACCCCAGTGAATCGCTCACATTGTAAAATGCGACACAGCGGAAAGCGGAATCGTCAGGGTCTGAACAACGCTTTGAATGCCTATATAAATTTGGACATCGCCAGCCACTGTCCTCAACTTTCTTGAACAACGCTCGCCAAGCTGCGATGAGGGTTGAATGGAATATACAAAGGATGCCAAAGTAGCATTTTATGAAGTGTGCAAATTTCTATCAGTCAGGCTGCCTGCGGGCGTCACATCAGCCACTCCTCAGTCACATCGTCCTGTTGCTATTTTAACAATGTTGAGTTGAGGGTTCTGCAATTGTGATGAAATCGTTCTGGAACTATACAACACGTGCAAGTTCGCGCAGACCGCTCAACAGGTAGTTCACTGATAGCTAATCTTACCCCGTGCCCTTTTTCAAGGTCTTCTTGATCACCAGGCTATCATCAGTGACGTCGTCCACCTTCTTCCACGACACCAGCTCCAAGGAGATCTCCAGCTCTGAGTTGGGGGGCACCTCAGGGGGCTGGCCAGCCTCACCAAGGCCATCTGGGCAGCAAGGATCGTAATGTCTATTCAAAACTAAGAACTGAGCAAGGATCTGAGCCAAACAGAACTAAAGGCTGTCAAGTTGAGCCATAAGATGACAGGGTAAGAAAGAGCACAAATTTTCCATCCCCAGTGCATCCCTTGTATTCAAGAGTCCAACGGCTCCCAAATGCATGATGCAGTGCTCTAGAATAAATAGAAATAACATTAACAGGGGAGAAGCAAAATATGAAAGCAAGTGAGGGTGAAAGTGGAAACAGATGACACCACTCTGAACAGCGATATGCGTGGTAAGCTTTCGACTCTTTGCACCTGGTGTTCACGACACAATCAAGGAATCAACGTAAGGAAAGAATTGCAGTGCAGGGCTGCAAATTCACAGGAGTAGGCAAGCGCGCAGGCAGCGGACTCACATTCTGCGTTCACTATCAGAGAAGCCTTCTCCCCCTTCTTCATCTTCTTGACTGCTATTGGCAGTGCCTTGCAGAAGTGCCCTGTGCAGGGGATCCATGCAAACACTTATTCATCTAGCACCCTGATGACAGGACAAGATCCTGAACCATGACTACAGTGGTGCACAATGCCCATACAATAGCATCGGTATTGAGAGGGCAGCCGTCATTGCAATGGGCTCAATTCAGACTTTGGCATTGATGGCGATCGCCATCGGACACTTTGCCTGCAGCCATATGCCCATATGACCAACATACACAGGTGCAAGGGTTGTGGGTTTTGATATTTTGTTGACAATAAAATCAAAAGATTTGCTAAGGCAACGGGGAAGCCGAGGTAGTGGCATGAAAAGCAATCATCCAATCCAAAGGAGCCCTGTCTTTTGCAGAGGGGACATGCAGGGTTTCCCAAACCCAACAATACAGTTCTTGCTTTTGACAACTTCAACTGCGACCCACATTTTGGAAACAGGCAAAACAATCAGGACAAAATCCAATCATGTTGAGAAACAACAACACCTGGATTGCATTCACAAAGTGTAGAATAGGCCCCATCCAGACATCCAAGAATTGCAAGGGGTGGTTGTAGCCTTCTTGTTGTTCTTTCGCTTCCAAAAGTAAATTATTACATAGGGAATCACAAAGCCACCTCCGTTCCAACAGACGGGCAGCAGTAGCTGCTGTGGTTGTTGCCGTTACTCAGCTCTTGCTGGTACCAGGAAATGCGTTTTCTGCACTGTGCCAGCAGAGCTCTAATCAGGTCTTACAACTGGTGCCAAATCTCCTGAAAGGGCTTTGCTGCAAGAGCTTTGCAGCAAGTGCAGTGCTTGAAAAGTGTTGACATGGTCTAAACTATTGGTGGAATTTCCTGTAAAATCCTGAGGTGATCGGTTGGCCATGATTGCCACTGCATTCATAGGGCCCATCATGTGCATGCTGAGTTGGCCACTATGCAACACCAACCCTGCTCAGTAGGGACAGCACATTAGCATGGGCAAACCTTGTACTAGGTTTATCCTTCTGTTCATGCTCACAATCAATTTGACAGATGTCTGTGTCCTGACAGATATGTTTCAAGCCCTACCATACCTTCACTCACAGTGAATTCCACCTCCTGCGTGGTGAACGGGGCATCAGCACCCTTCACCTTGGCCTCATACTTCACTGGCAAATTGGCATGACAACAGGACACAGTTAGAGTCAACGTCAACATCTCGAAAGTGCCGTGTGCACGTCTGTGCTGCTGCTGAAATGTGAAGGTACTAAAGCAGATGGGTTCAAAACCGGGTATCATCATTTTCTCAGACTTGGTAGCAATTGTGTCTACAATCAGTGCCAGGGCCCATGTGCATAGACTGGATTCTCTCTCAGGATTCTTTTCACAAATGTCAATCTGAACCAAGGGCAATCATGGAGCAAAAAACTAAAAAGACACCCACCGTAGTGCAGTACAGCACACCAGACAGTGCACTGACCCATAGTCATTTTGGGGAGTTATTCAACAGCCACCGGGGCTGCCAAGGTGCACATCACTGAAAGATGCCCCCAGCTGTGATTTGTTTTGGGGTTGGAAGACATGAATGGAAAGGAAATGCGTAACACATAGCACACTGCAACTGCCTGGCAACGTCCACAGATGGGAGCACAGACCTAGAAGTCTTTTTTTTGTTTCAAACTGACACAACAACAGCAATTCTGCTGAGTTTCAGCGGTGCAGCATCACAAGCACAGCGCAACGATGTGCCACAGAAGCAGTGCTCACATCTGTGGGGCCCGAGCACCCCAAACAACGTGACAAGCTGAGTAGTTGATGGGGGCATATAGCATGGGCAAGTGTAAGATACGTCGATGCAACCATTGAGGATTTAGGGCACCACCCCATTTTGGGATATCAAAAGGTCGATGATGGCCCCCCCCACTGCCATGTCAGTGTCAGCACCATCTCAAGAATTTAAACATGCGTTTATGCAGATCGTGCTCCAGGAATTCTGTGCTCAGCCATATGCAACATCGCACCCTGCAATTGCAAGGCCAGTGCCCGCTCACTTGCCAACAAGTACATCAAGTGTGACAACAACACAACAACAATGTTATAGTGAAAATATAGCATATCAACGTCAAGAACAATGCGACAACATACATTTACAATATACACCATCGCGAGAGGCCTCCAAACTTGACACTCAGAAACTCACCAAGCACCTCATCCTTGTCCCTGGGATTCTCCCACCCCTCCCCCTCAACCATTGTGGTTTTGATGACGCCACCATCCCCCGCGATGTCCTTCACGCTCTTCCAGCCCAGCAGCTCCACCTCGAAATCGAGTGTCGCATTCGCTGGGATTTTTGGTGGGGAACCAGCTTCACCGTAGGCATACTTGGGTGCACATGTCAGGACAGCCTTCTCACCCTTTTTCATACGTGCCACGCCCTCATCCCAACCCTTGATCACCTCACCTGTGGCTCCACAACAACTTGCTCATTGAAACGTGACCGCTACACATCTGGACAGCAATTGCTGCACTGATGTTATGTACAATTATTCTTTTCAAAACACCAACTCCTTGTTCTTGCCTTGGGAATGAATGACATGGATTGACATGAAACCAGCACTGCATCTTGTTGGTGCAGGGGATGCTGATTGCCTTTCTTGACCCCCAGTGCCATGTGCGATTGCTGTGTAGTAGGGCATTACTGCCAATGTGGGACCAGTCAGCCATTCGTCACCTAGCTGACAGCAAGGATCTTCTGTGGTTTGCCAATCGCTCTTCATGCTAAGAGCTTCCTGGGAGCGTACAAGCCGCTCAATAAATACCTTGTTTGTTGCTTCTTTTCGTGCATTCTCTGTTGATTCTATTTTAAGCTTTATCTCTGGTACAGAATGTGTACTGTGCGACCAAGATAATGCCAGTAATACAGTTCGCTGCAGGAAAAGCAGTGAAGATTATATGCACTCGTCAGCATCAAAGAGCATGCGATTCTATGAAGTACACAGCCCTTGCAGAACGGAAGTGGGTGCAACTGAGTATTGCCAAGTACTGAGCAGCATACAAAGCACCAAGCGCTGAGTACTACATGCTCAGTATTGAGTACTCAGTTGCATTCCCAAACATAAGTGCTAACCACAAACCACTCATGGCTGAAACTGCCTGACCGATTCCTTTCCTGTCTTTTTGGGGGGAGACCATGGCTAATGTACCATACACATACACAATGCAGATGCAGTTGATAGCAATTCAAGGGCCCCAGGCTACAATCAATCTGTCAACACCAGGTGGAAGGCAAAGAATTCGATCCAAGAAAGAATGGGGAAGAACAGCCCAGAGCAAATTGAGGAAACTGAAGTCCTGGCCGTACCCTTTCCAAGGTTGAAGGTGAATGGGGTGTCCCGATCCCTGCTGGAGTCAAACTTCTCTCCCCCATCTGCAAGGGTGCCCACATAGTGCACTGCAGGGAAGCGAGCACAGCACAGCGTCAGGCCATGCAACAGAACCCACAACATCGGATTAAAACGTGTGATGGCAGATGCTTGTCTGCACTGCCTCGCCTCTAAGGCTTTCAACAAACTTCCAGGAAAATCAGATGCTTGTTGCTTCAGCAGCACACCTCCATACACTAGCAACTCAAGGAGATGGTCACACGCTCGGTATTGGCTTCCTCATTGATTTGTCTGCTCATTTCTTTGTTTGTCTGTCTTTGCTTATTTCTGCTTATTTTTCAACCAGTTGTTGTAACACACGGTCAAATTTTGGATAAACAACTTCAAACAGGGCCAGCTCTGCAATTGAAGAGTTTCTACTCCTTTCACTCTGCAGGTGTCTGGCAGTTCTCAGGGATGATTGGCGATCGGCAAGAAAGATGTCGCTTTGAAAACCCCTTTTTATGGCACAGAGCTTGCCATCAACTTTCAGATGCAAGGCCAGTGCTTGTTGTGTGCTGCAGAAATGCAAACAACACGGTGTGCCATAATCTCTTTTGGAGTGGAAAACTAGGGAGACTAAATTTTGGCTGGATCTTTCTGCACCTGTCACTGTCAGCAACATGCAGAGCTTTGTTCAAGGCCATTGGGACAAAGGCAGCCTATGCGAGCTGCAACAGTAGCATGTCCAGCATGTTTAACACTGAGCATCCAGCCTGGGTCAGTGCTCGTCATGACTCCTTCTCAGTCTGGCATCGCACATAGGTGCAAACACTGTCATGTTGCTGCAGATGTTCCTGTTGCCGTGTTTGTAATGTTCACACAAATGTTGTCGATGAGAATTTAGTGCCCCTGCAAAAGGTCTTATTGAGACTATTGGTTGGGGAGTTGGGCAGGAATTTAGCAAGACCCTAGCTTCAAACCTAAGAACTCTATGGCCATGACCAAGGACAGCAATTCCACCCCACAGAGCTTCTGGAAGCCATGACAACAATCCCACACAGCCCTTGGGTGGTGGCAACCCATGTACCATGCCTGTTGTTGCGTGCTGTTCCAGATGGAGTCTATGCCAAAGTTGTAGGCTCCTTGATGAGGCTGTAGGCTCTATATTAGTGCTCTTATTTCCTTTGCTTGGGGTATGCTAACTGCTAGAGGCAAAAATTCTAACCAGCGACAATGAACTGGCTACAAAGGACTCCAGTGACAATTGGATGCCCTTGTGTCGCAAGACCAGACTTCTGAACTGCCTTCCATTGTCTTCAACACTGTCCCACACAACTTCTTGTTCATAACGGGGTGACCCATTGGAAACCCTGTCGTCCCAATACATTCAGGCACCACTGTCCACCCACACACACTGACATTTCGTGCTGTATTTCTTCTCGATGTTTTAAAATGCCATCCGCACTGATCACTGCACGCCCCGTGCATGTGTTTCCCGTTTTGCTTGCTAGTTTTCAAATTTGCAATTACTGGACGGAGCTGTCGAATCGCCAGCCCGCCATTGATGCAAGGACAGTACTTGACCACCATTCGACACAGACAACGAAACAACAAGGGTGCAAGCAGCGGCAGCAATGGCAACAAGCTCAACGGAATTTCACATGTTCAGATCATGCGAGGATGCCGATGTCCCAATCACAAGGAGCCTCCTTCCAGCGCGACTTCGGCGCAGGCTAGCCCGCTTTTGGGACAACCCGTCAGCTGCTGCGCAACGGAGCAGTCGGCCGCGTCGCGCCCAACACGCAAGAAAAATCGTCCCGCAGCCCCACCCTTCGGCCACCCACCTTCCACGACGTCGCCCTTCTCCGGCGTCAGGTACCCCTTGCCGGCAGTGATGATCTTCTTCTTCACACCGCCATCTTTCTGCGCGCCCACGCACACGTCCCACTCCCTCAGGGTGTGTGTGCAAAATCAACCCACGTCCAAAACTCGTCAACACACAATCCGCCCCAGTCCCCTCTGCCAAACCGCGCCATTGCACCCTAGGCGCCCCACGCGCACCGCCCGTCCCATCCACCACAACGCCGAACGTCCCACGGGCGCCAGAATCGCATGCAGAAACGGCCGCCGAGGCAAATCCCCCCCCCCCCCCCCCCCATCAAAGTCTCCCTCATGGCAGCGAAAAGATCACGGATTGAAGTCCAACAGCCCACCCTCTGGCGCACCAGCGAGAGGCCAGCATCCCAACAACCATATCCCCCACGCCCCACCCCCTTCCCCCTTCGCATCCCGAGATCTTTCCCGAATCCACAGCCATCGCCTCCATCGGCCGCCGTCCCTCCCCTCCAACCCAAACTTGGAGGCGCCACAGGCCCAGGGCCCCCCCTTGCACTCACCGTCACGTTGACGACCTCCCCGACCTTGTCCTCCCCCCCGTCGTAATCCTCCTCGTCGTCGTCGAAGTCCTCATCCCCTGCACCCGCCCACAGCCGCCAGAATCAGTCCCAACCTCCTCCCCGCCTCTCCCAAATCCCGCCCTCCACACACACCCATCGCCATCAGCATTCAAAGCTCAGCGATGCAAACCCCGTTCCCGCGGCTCACAAAACCTTCCCGCCAGCAATCCCTTCCCCCCCACACCCTCTCACCTTCCGCATCCAGCTGCATCGGCTCCGAGTCGTCCGCCATCCCGCGCGGTCCTCCCGCTCACGCAAGACAAAGATCCCGCCAAACGCCGGCTCGATCGATCGATTCAGCCGCCGGGGATGATGCCGGAGGGGTTGGCAGGCGGCAGTGCGGCACGGTGCTGCGCGGGTGGCGGCTGCAGGCCGACTTCTGGCGCCGGGCGGGCGACTTGTTGGCGGGGTTCTGGATGCTTCTGGGGCCCTCGGTTGGGGGAATTTGGGGAAGCTGGCAGGACCGGGGAGCCTGCGGCCTAGACCGCCTTCGGAGGCAAGGGTGGGCCTTGGGGACTGGTTGCGGCGTCACGGGGGTAGCGCCAGGGTGATGGCGTAATGTTAAATGGGGACTCCCGAGCCAAGCCCAGCTTGTTCTGCATCTACATCTGCATCTGGCTACAATTTGGAAGGAAAAATGCAAAACCCAGTGATAGTGTCACGTAAATTATTGCCCCCCAGACTGGAAGGGAGAAATGAAGGTTCTGCTATGCGAGTTGCATAAATTTTGTAGTGCAAATTCCATGTTGGCTAGTGTGCAAACCGTCATTGATGTGAGCGAGGTTCATTTTGGTACTTGCAATACATATGGCTCCAGCTCCTGCCGCCCCCTGGAGCCATCGTGTCTTTGGCAGGGCACCTGCCAAATTGCAGCATCGCTCCTTGTATGCACCACTTCCCATTGCAAACTCCCTAGCTGGAAGGCATGTGCCGCATTATATGCCTGTTCGCAACGCCGCATAATGACCACAGTTTCACCGGGTGGATCACTTCTGCTTGATGGCTTGCGACTAGTGGGCATGTCAAAGCGTGAATCGCTGCTTGAGATTGAAAGAAATCTGAAAGTCATTTCTGTGATTGAATCTTGGTTTGGAATTTGGCTTTTGAGGTAGTTTTCGATCACACTCATGTTTGTTGAGGACAAAATGAGCTTGATGAAAGAATGTCATGCAATTCACATAGAGATGCCTGGGTCATAGTGTCTTGGCCGCAAGATGCAAGGGTGTGTTGTGGAGAAGTTTCGGATGTGGGTTTCCCGAAGCTTTACAACATTGTGACCGCCCTCTACTTTCACTTTGGCTTGCAAGATTTGTTGTACTTGCGCTTTGCAGTGGGGGCGTTTGGAAATGACCATATGCGGCACCTGAGTAGTCAGAATCATGTTGTTTTGAATTCTGAGTGAAAGGGAAGCTGTGGCATATTTCAGATGTGGGCTGCATCGTAGTGATGAGGTGGCATGGGGGTTGAATTGTCTTATGGGCATTTGTGCTTATGACAATCCTTAGAGGTCGAAAATGGGACATTGTATCAGATAATGGAAGTTGGCATGAACGTGGCTGATCATTTTAAGCGCACCCCAGCCTGTTGGGGGCGCAACAACCTGTGCTGTGAACCACGCTTTCAACTCTGTGTCGCCTGACCATGTGAGCGCCGGCGCGTGGGATGGCGACCCCTCCAATCTAGAGGTGGCCACTCAAAGGTGCCATCCGGTCCGTTAAATCCGGTTCGTTAATTTTTATCAGTTGTCCGTTAAATTTCGTTAAAGAAAAAGGGAGAAAAACTCCAAAAAAAAAAAAAATCGAAAAAGCCCCAAAAAATCACAACAACTGCGGCTAGTTGAAAATCTAGTATGCATAGGTTGAAATAAAATACAAACGTACTCTCTAATAGCGAATTCCATAAACTATAAGTATGATTAAAACCCAAAAATCCCCAAAAAATCCAAAAATCTGCTAATTTTTGGTTATTTGTTGTCTTTTTTTGTTATTTTCCATTAATTAACGGAAAATTAACGGAAATTAACCTCTGTCCGCTATTAACGGATCTGGGTGGCCACCTCTATTCCAATCGCCTAGCTAATGCCGCTTGTCTGGCTTACTTCGAAGAGGACATGCCCACCGTGCTATGCATGATGGTGCGTTTCCTTTAACATGCCCTCGTCCCTATCAAGGCGTCAATCATGACTGACCACTGAACCTGTGGGAACAAAAGCACTTCGGACAGGGCTCTTGCCACATGACTCCAACATTGGATGCATGCACACCCGTCATCGCCTGCAAAGTGTTGCGCAAAAGAGTTGCCAGCTGGGGGTTAGGCGCTCGAAGGACTTTTGACCCAAAACCCAATGTTAGGCCTCAGGCCAGTCAAGTCTGGAGCCACTCCCTAGAAGCCGGTACTGGGGGGTTACCCCCAGCATTGGTGTCCACAATACCTGCCCCGGTGTAGCTATGACCTATCCCTACACTAAGGTGACCGGGGCGGGTCACTATAGGATGGTTACTAGTTACTACACCCATGTACTGGCTAGAGTTGTATACAAGGTGTAAGGGCCCTACTTTGCCTTTCAAAGGTATATTTGAAAAAATTAGCATGTTTTGGTATGTGCTAGTTCTTAGTGTGCTCATGTATGCACGTGGTGGAAGAACTGCAGTGAGGGGGCCAATTCGGCTTCATTTTTAAACCAGGAGCTTGATAGATACTTTAACCACATAGCCTCATTTCGTCACCAACCCCAAGATGAACAATAATGAATGTATAGCAACCACACTATATGCCTTTTAACTCTCATTGCTAGATATGGCTCTGGCTTGTTGCAATTGTGGGGTGCCAGCGGTAATAGGAATATTCTTTTCAAACAATAGCTAATACAATTCTATAGTCGCTTCCTGTTCTCCTCACCTTTTGGACCACCCCGTTTGTTTTGAGTAAGAACATGCATTGTCTCCCAATCAAAGGGTATTGGTAAGTCATAAAAGGACTTTCTTTATGATAACATAAGATGTATAAAGGAACTCGTTTTATCCCAACATCCGGTGTTAGACTTTGAAGATTCGAATTTTGCCTAACCCCATCACTTTGAGGACTTAGGGCTCTAAGCAGTGGATCTCCATCCTAGGATGGAGATCCACAATGGGAATAAGAAAATCTTGATGGGGCAAAACGAGTGCGTATTTTGATTCTCTTCTTTGCTTGCCACTCATCTTTGGATTCTCCAAGGTGTTTGTTAGTGATTTGCAGATCCTCTTTTTTTATCCTTTCTCTGTCTTGCTTTTATTACTAGTCCTACTTGTTGTTCCTTGCTTATCAAGTGCTCTTGGTTATTAACCTCACTGGATATGATCCCAAGCCACAAAAAAAAGACCACCAACAAATTTGGCAAAAGAACTAAGCACCGTGTCATTACTACAAGATCTAAAAAGTTCAGGTTAAAGTGGAGAAGGACATTCCACTCGGGGCTAATCCAGCTTGAGTGCATAATAGGCATTGTGAGAGGGCTATGAATGTGGTATAAAACACAGGGGGTAATACGTTTCCTTGATTGTGAGTATCTCGAAAGTACAATAAATATTAATAGATAGTCTCATCCCTTAGTAGAGCTTACTAGAAGACCATAGGCTTTTGAATCGCTCTATTTGAGTTAAAGGTAGTGAAGATATAGTTGCTAGATAATACAGTAAGTAAACTACCCCTCTACGACCGTATTGGTGGATGAGATAATATTTATACACTGACGTTGTTTGTATTGTCATGTAGCACGGGGCATACTAAAGGGCGACCCCGATGCCCGACGGATTGTAACTCTTGCCAACTACTGATCTCTGGGCAGCTGTACCCGCAAGCTGCACTAGTGTCATGCACCCACTGCGCACACTGTTGCCCCGTGCCTGGCCGATCGTAGGCCTTGGCCCATAGTGCGCACCCAAAAAGAGCAAGCGTCTTGGACAACCCGCCAGCTATCGAGCCCAGAAAGCCCATCTAGTCTGCATTGGGTGCTGCGGCATGCACATCGCCTATGCATGAAGCCAAAAACCATGCCAATGGTTTTGGAGTGGGCGGATGGGGAAGGCAGAAGTGTGCCACATAGTGCAAGAGGGGGCGCGGGCCAAGAGACCCGGCCCGATGGTGGGAGGGCCCCCCATTCGCAAGAGATCCAAAAAAAAGGGCAGGCCAAGCAGGCGCCTCACGACACCACTTGAATAAGCAAGGGAATCTGGATCAAACCGGGCACTTGGCCCCGTGTGGCCCCGGAGTGGGGTGGGGTGGGGTGGGGTGGGGTGGGGGGGGGCATATTGTTGCTTTTCATACCTAGCCTATCAACGGGGGGCATTGGCTTGTGGTCTGTGCGCTGATGTGAAGCTCGATCGGGCTTCACTTAGACAATCGAACGTTCCATTTCGCGTTGACTCAGCTCGAAGTCGCTTAGACTTGAGCGTGCCCACCTTAGAGTCATAGGATCCATTGTGAGAAAGAAACTCTTACAATGCTTGCTACTTACAAGGTTGGGAAATGGTAGATACAAGTGCTGAGTCGAAAGACTCAGCCCTTTATATAGTGACTATATTATAGTCTCGAAGACCTTGTTCTGGAAATATCTTGATACTACTAGTAATTTATTTATTAATAAGTTTGTAACCTGTCATGCAAGTGTCTCAAATATATTCTGGAGATTTGACGAACACTCTACTTATTATTAAAGTATTATGTTGGTCGATTGTCCAGAATATTCTAGCAAATGGTATAACTACACTATGCCTTCCCTCTCAAAGGGATGATGGGTCATTTCATTCTCTTGAGAATGTTCTAAACCCTTCAATAAGACAACGTGCGCCCCCCATGAAAGATTATATCAAGTCCCGGTACAATCTGGTCCATTCTCTTCCAATAGTCAACCTTCATTTCTTTCCCGTTTCTCAATCAAGTCTAAATTAGACTTAGTACAGTATATTAAATGTACCTTATTATACAAAATCAGCCATATCTTCCTCAATACTTGTCCGTTTGAGCTGATTCTTTTTCTATTAAGTTTGAAATTAACTCTATTTTTTGTTTATTTAACTATTCTGGCGTTATCTAATCTTACAACTATCCCCCCTTCGAAAATCGACGTCCCTGTCGATGGGGTCAATTATGCTATATATATCTCTAAAAGCTCCTGATGCTCTTGGTCGTAGTCCTTGTCTTCTCTTTGATGATGAATTTTGATAGGCTCATGTAGTTGTTGCACCTCCTCTT